GTTTCTAGACCAGTGATGGCGAACCTTTTGAGCTCAGCGTGTCAGCATTTTGAAAAACCCTAACTTAATTCTGGTGCCATGTCACATATAGAAATTTTTTGATATTTGCAACCATAGTAAAACAAAGATTTATATTTTTGATATTTATTTTATATATTTAAATACCATTTAACAAAGAAAAATCAACCAAACAAATGAGTTCGCATGTCACCTCTGACATGTGTGTTATAGGTTCGCCATCACTGCCCTAGGAGCTGATCGGTAAAGATATTGCTTCGGCATACGTCTGGGATTTTTCTGCCTGAGGATTCCTCTAATATTTTTATTGTTTCCCATCTTATGTTTAAGTCCTTTATCCATTTTGAGTTTATTTTTGTGTATGGTGTAAGTTGGTGGTCTAGTTTCATTTTTTTGCATGTATCTGTTCAATTTTCCCAACACCATTTATTGAAGAGACTGTCTTGACTCCATTGTATTTTCTTGCTTCCTTTGTCAAATATTAATTGAGCATAGTGGTTTGGGTTGATTTCTGGGTTCTGTATTCTATTCCATTGGTCTATATGGACACATTAAATATCTTCACGGAGCCCTGATGAAGTTAAATACTATCATGATATGTACTATAGGCGATTTTTACCTATTAAATGGGGTTATAATAGCTCTTATTTACTAACTCAGACCTAGGGCAGTTAGGTAATTTGCCTGTCAAATAGCTAGTAGGTGGTAGAACCCCGGTATATGTGTACTGAGCCCACATTGCTCACCATTACTGCTCTACTGTTTTCCCAAGCTGCTGCCTTCTCCAGACCTCCTCAAACATAAACTATGGGAGCCAACTCCAGCTTCAGCTCTCTTTCCTGGCTGCCTCCTCAAAATGCCACTAATTTAATGTCTTCCCAACAACCCACTCTAACTATAAACACAGGTTTAGTCTCAGCTCTCACTGGCCACTTTCCTGTAGTTACCTCTGAATCCCCAAGACATTGGATAATGAAGCCAATAGTCTGGCTCCTTTGTCAGCCACAGGTTCTCTTGACGAAGTGATGATATAAAAAAAAAAGAAAGGACATGCCCTGGCTGGCATTGCTCAGTGGTTAGAGTGTTGACCTGTGCAACGAAGGGTCGTAGGTCCGATTTTGGTCAAGGGCATGTATCTGGGTTGTAGGTTAGATCCTTGCCCAGTTGGGATGTGTGCAGGAGGCAGCCAATGGATGTGACTCTCTCACATCAATCTTTCTCTCTTCCTTCTCCTCCCTCCTTTCCACTCTCTCTGAAACTCAATGGAAAAAATATCCTCAGGTGAGGATTAAAAACAAAAAGGGAAAGAACAAAGTAGTCTAGTCATTTGATAAATGTCTCATGTTCACAAGAACTCATCCCTAGAAGAAGCAAGGGATTTCTTTTCTCTGCCATATGCACTACCACTCAGGGTGTCCTAGAGCTGCAGGAAGCAGATTCTGTGAAATTTTCAAGGACTGTATCCAACATGGATTCAGTCTTTGCTGTTGATCAGAGCGCACAAATACTAACCTTCTTTCTGTTCTATCCGTAGGAGATGGAAGAAGCACTGGAAAGGTAGGTTTCCATCCTGTGTTCAGGGATGTCAGAGACAGGGATGTGGTGCTGATGAAATAGCTTGGAGACAGAGTGGGGATGAGAGTGTCCATGCTTCTGGGACAAAATGAGCAGGTCATGCTGAGGGGATGGAGTGACACTCTGCCCTCTTGTAGGAGTGAGCCACTGTTGCTTCAGTGTCCAGAGACCACCAGCACAGAGCTGAGTCTGTGCCACATCACCGGAATGAGGGAGATGCTAAGAAAATTCCACGGTAAGTCAGCCTGATTTCCGGAGTTAGCTTCAGCTTCCTCTAACAGAATATTCAGCATCTGGGTGCCAGGCTCTCAGTGAAGGCATTCTGAGCCAGCAGGGAACACCGCCAAAGGCTGGGCCACAGAGCAGCTCTATGCTGGAGAAGGCAGATACAGACGGGATTGATGTCTGTCTGGCTTTGTCTTTTAATGATTCCTGATCCTTCCTTTGTTGGTTTGTTTTCATTGTTCTGTTTTGTCCATCTCAGCCCCTTACACATACTCACACACCTCTAAAGGGGTTTCTGCATTTCCACCCCTGTCTTTGTCAGGACAAAAGCTAACACGCTTAAATCCCAGTGAGAGAACATTCAAAGAACTATTCTTTTAGAATACTCCAGCTATTTAGACTGGCTAAGAAGGAGAGAGGTCAGTGTTAGTCTCAACATTGATCTTGACAATCTGACTTTCAGAGAAAGGCCTAATCAACTTTGGACTCCATAGATATTTGATAAGTGCCTACTATGTGCCTGGTACTAGGCTGTGAGGCTCTGAGCATACTTACAATGACAACAAGATAGACTTGCCTTTGCTTTTGTAGAACTTCCAATGAAATTGTGGAGATGGATATTAATAATCACAGATATTTATTGATAATTGGAATTCGATCTATCAATAAAAGTATAAATTGTATGATAAAGGGGACCCAATCTTTTCTGGAGAGTAGGTAAAAGTAGGAGGTCTCTTCTTTTAAAAAATATATTTATTGATTTCAGAGAGGAAGGGAGAGATAGAAACATCAATGATGATTAGCTGTTTCCTGCATGCTCCACGCTGGGGATCGGTATGTGCCCTTGACCAGAATCCAACCTGGGATCCTTCAGTCCACAGGCCGACACCCTATCCACTGAGATATCAGCTAGGGCTGGAGGCCTCTTCTATAACATCCTGTCAAGAGAGTAAGAGAGGAATCTCTCACTGGTGCGCCTCACCAAAGGGTCACTGGGGTTGAACTAACTCCTATGCAGTTGCACGTAAGCATGACGTCATAAAGAATGCTCTTTAGGAATTACTATTCCAGCTCTCAGTAACTTTGTAATCTTGGTCCAGCTTCTAACCTTTATGAATCTAAGTTTTCTCCTTAATAAAAAAAATAGAAAAACAATAATGTGTGTCACGATTAAATGAGATAATGTACGGAAAATGGTTGATATCTAAGTAGGAGTTCAGTAAATGATAACTGCCTATATTTCTCTCCCACTCCAATGGACGAACCAGAAGCAACCCTGGCTGAAGCAAATACAAATGACAAAGGGTACATCACCCTGTGTGGATAAATAGTTCTGAGTGCTCAGACTGTCTTGTGAACAAACAACTTCCATTCCATTACCAGAGATTCCTCTCTCCCTCTCAGACAGGCCAAATAACACTTTCCACACAACCATCTTCTGTTTCCTTTTAGAAATGCATCCTCTCTTTTGTGAAACAGTAAAAGGGCTCAGAGACTATTTTCTCAAAAAAAAAAAAAAATCCCCACCATGCTCACCTAAGTTATATTTTTAAAAAGTAGGACTGAACACTAAGAATTTAATTTACATTCCACATACATGGAGGGGGCTTTCAAGAATACAAATGAGTCCTAACTGGTTTGCTCAGTGGATAGAGTATTGGCCCGCTGACTGAAGAGTCCCAGGTTTGATTCCAGTCAAGGGCATGTACCGTGGTTGTGGGCTCAAACCCCAGTAGCGGGTGTACAGGAGGCAGCTGATTGATGTTTCTCGCTCATCAATGTTTCTATCTCTCTATTCCTTTCCCTTCCCCTCTCTAAAAATAAATACAAATATTTTTAAAGAGAATACAAGTGAGCATTCATTCTTTACTCCTTTTGCAGCAGATATAACTCTGGATCCAGACACAGCCAATGCCTACCTTGTCTTGTCCGAGGATCTGAAAAGTGTGAGATATGGAGGTATCCGACAGAAGCTACCTGACAACCCAGAGAGATTTGACCAGTCTGCAACTGTGTTGGGTGCTCAGAGCTTCACCTGCGGGAGACACTACTGGGAGGTGGAAGTCGGAAACAAGACGGAGTGGGAAGTGGGCATCTGTAAGGACTCCGTAAGCAGAAAGGGGAATCTCCCCAAGCCCCCCGGAGACCTCTTCTCACTTATCGGCTTAAAAATTGGAGATGATTATAGCCTTTGGGTCTCATCACCTTTGAAAGGTCAACATGTCAGAGAGCCTGTGCAAAAGGTCGGTGTGTTCTTAGACTATGAGTCTGGACACATAGCATTCTACAATGTGACAGATGAGTCTCTCATCTACAGCTTCCCTCCGGACTCCTTCGAAGAGGCACTCAGACCTATATTTTCTCCTTGCCTCCCAAATGAAGGGACGAACACAGGCCCCCTTACCATCTGCTCACTGAATAGCTATGTCTGAGGGAGATGCCGCTGAGTCTCTCTGAGAATGAGGTCTAAGACCAACAGATGACTGTTAATTAAGATGACAAATGAGTTGATAGTATTAACATCAGGTGACCTAAAAGTAAAGCTCCCCACCCCAAAGAGTTTCCATTAACTTGAACCTACAATGAACAGCCAAATTGGACAATCGACTTCTAACACAAATAGGAGAAAGCCAACCCTATTCCGTGTCTTTAACTAAATTTATCATCTAGACCAGCCCATATTTGTGCCGATCACGAAACATGTAGAATTAGAATTAGCCCCTATTACCTTGAATCCCACGGCCATAGGCCAGTTTTATAAATATATATCATTTTTTTCAAGTGTATTTATTTATTTGATGCTAAAACACTGCTGTTTGAATGTGTCTTTGTTCCATGTGCAGAGTTCTTATACTGCAATCCTAACCCCTCCAGATGCACGGGTCCTCCCTTCCACGGGTGATGAGAGGGGCACATGGCACAGCCTCCTCTGAAAAGTCACTTTTTTTCCCCATCCCATGGGGCCTGGAGCACTCTTGCTCAGGGACGGTTCAGAATGCTGCAAATATGTGTATGACTATCACTGTATCATTCATGCTTCCATAATCACAAAATGCTGAAACATCTGCTAACACGTTCAGAGATGACAGAGCAAAGTTTCTACTCAATAAATCTATCAATGCTGTGGGTGCCAAGTTACCTTATTAAGTTTTATGTAAGGTTATTTTCTGTGCTTTTGCTATTTGCAGAAGCCTTTTTACAAAATTTTATTGAATTTATTCAGGTGAGATTGGTTAATAAAATTATACAGGTTTCAAATGTACATGACATATTTTAATTATAACTATAATTTTTGTTTTTTTGCTTAATCCCTTCACCTTTTTCACTTAGCTCCACACCCCACCAACTCCTCTGACAGTTATCAGTCCGTTCTCTTTAAGTATATTTCTATTTTATTTGTTAGTTTATTTTGTTCATTAGATTCCCCATATGAGTGAAGTCATATGGTACTTGTCTTTCTCTGATTGGCTTTTTCACTTAGCAAAATGCTCTCCAGGACCATTCATGCTGTCACAAAGGGTAAGATTTCCTCCTTTTTTAAAACCAAGTAGTATTCCATTGTGTCAATGTACCAAAGCTTTTTTATCCACTCATCTACTGATGGGCACCTGGGCTGCTTCCAAATCTTGGATATTGTAAATAATACTGCAATGAACATAAAGGTACATATATTCTTTTAAAATAATGTTTTGGGTTTCCTCGGATATATTCCCAGAAGTGCAATTGCTGGATCAGAAAGCAGTTCCATATTTAAATTTTCGAGGTAACTCCACACTGATTTCCATAGTAGCTGCACCAATCTGCATTCCCACCTACAGTGCACAAGGATTCCCTTTTCTCCACATCCTTGCCAACATGTATTTTGAAAATTAAATATCACTTATTAGATATTTTTTGAAAATATGACTTTTTAAATCCCTAAATATATAAACATGTACCTTCTAAGAATTAGTGCCTTTTGTTAAATTACATTTATCATATCAAAAATTCACATTCAATAAATGGTATTATTTAATGATATTTAATAAATGTTTTTTATTAAAAATTTCTCAGTTAGGGTTGTAATGTTCTTTAGTCCTCCAGGAATAATACAGGATCATTCAGGAACTGTAATTGTCTTAAAAAACATAATTTAAAAAAAATATATTTTTATTGCTTTCAGAGAGAAAGAGAGGGAGAGATAGAAATCTCAATGAGAGAGAAATGTTGATCGGCTGCCTTCTGCATGACCCCCCCCCCCCCCCCCCACAGGCGACACCCCCCCCGCGCACACTCTTTTGCTGGCCTTGGGTATGTGCCCTTGACCAGAATCAAACCTGGGACCCTTCAGTCCACAAGCCGACACTCTGAGCCAAAACAGCCAAGGCATTGAAAAATACAATTTTTAATGGGAGTAATATTTTATTTTCTGAGTTCCCCTGACTTATTTAATTATTCCCCTAGGGTGGGAAATTTAGCTTATTTTCCATTTGTAGCCACCATAAGCAACACTGATGAATGACATGAAGATAAAGTTTTGGGTGTATTTATAATTATCCCTCAAGTCTACCTCCTTCGGGCAGAGCAGTTTCTTGTGGATCCCGCGGGCATGTGTTTGTAGTTGTGCATCTGCCCACAAGTTTTCTGCTCCACAGGTAGTCCAAAAGGTTTTACTCCCTGGCCTTCCCACAGCGAAGATACGGAAGCACAGCTTGGAGACACGAAAGAACATGTTTTCCTCTGCCCTACAGTCTTGCCGGCAGCACTGCATTTTTTCCAGAAAAATCTCTCTGAGAGCAACGGGGGAGTAGTGCTTGGGCTTTGAAATCAAACAGTCCTTGGTCTGAACACTTACCTTCACAAAATAACTGTTTCAGCTTTCACAAGTTATTTCAACTCTCCGAGCCTTGATTTCCTCTTCTCAAAAACTGTGAAAAATACCTACGTGTGATGATTATGTGAGAACACAGAAAACAGTGGATTCGTGTGCATGACGATTTGTTACTTCTCTCCTGCCCCACCTTAGAGACTGCGCTTTACAAATTTTTAGGGACCAAAAAGCCATAGAATGCTTATGAAGAATATAGAAAACATAGGCAACAAAATCTCCAAAAGATTTCCAAAGTCGTAATTATTTTACTGGTATAGGAAAAGTATTAACACAAAATTTAGTTGGAGAGAAAAAAACCTTTATGGATCATTTTCTTATCTTTCATGGAAATTCTTTTGATCTTCACACTTGTGAGCAGCTCATTGCCTAATAAAAAATAAATACAATAGCCGAAGCCGGTTTGGCTCAGTGGATGGAGCGTCGGCCTGCGGACTGAGGGGTCCCAGGTTCGATTCCGGTCGAGGGCATGTACCTGGGTTGCGGGCGCATCCCCAGTAGGAGATGTGCAGGAGGCAGCTGATCGATGTTTCTCTCTCATCGATGTTTCTGACTATCTCTCTCCCTTCCTCTCTGTAAAAATTCAATAAAATATATATAAAAAAAATTTAAAAAAAAAATAAATACAATAAGTAGGAGATAGATAAAAATGAAAACTTCTAATGTGGTAACCTCACTGTCATTCCTCTATCTTGGTGATCTCACACCATGCACTCTGCCGGCACTCTAAGTGCTCTCTCTAGCGGAATGACGATGCAGCCTTACTAACTTCTGTTGGCTCGGCTGGTGGTGCTCAAGTAGACTGGGGGACTGAGCTATTCGCCCCATCAGCCTTTGGGTGGGGCCTGGGTGGTCACCACCAGCTGTGAACCTCTTTCTCCCTTTAAAACCTTATAAATCGTATTAGATGTGGGCCACAATACGAGACAGAAGGGAAAGCACTGACCCCTAGCCCCCACCATCGGCGACTATCATATCTATCTATCATCTATCTATCTATCTATCTATCTATCTATCTATATCTATCTCTACCCATTTATCATCTATCTGATATATTACACAGGATGTACTAGTATAGCTTTCTTATTGACAGCAGCACAGAACCACGTTTTGTGAGGCCTAAAGCTTATGCAGCCCAGCTGGTGTAGCTCAGTTGTTTGGAGCATCATCCTTGCACCAAGAGGTCTCAGGTTTGATTCTCGGTCAGGGCACATGCCTGGGTCACAGGCTCCAGTAGGGAGCGTGCAGGAGGCAGCTGATGGATGTTTCTCTCTCATCGATGTTTTTATCTCCCTCCCTAGTACTTCCTCTCTAAATTCAATTAAAACAAACAAAAAACATGTTCAAGCTTATGCAAATGAGGAGAGTCATCTTTAAGAAAAATAATTAAAAATTACAAATTTTAACCTTAGGTCAGCATTTATAGGGTCTCAAACAATTAAGGGGCCTGATACTTGTTTAGTTTTGCGGTATATCTGCATATGGGTTAGCCAGATGCAAGGTGAGGTGATAAGGCAGTAAAACCAGAACTCTAGGTTCAAATCTTGGCTCCACCCCTAACTCTATGGCACTGGGCAAGGTGCTTAATCTTCGTATCTCAGTTCCTTCATTGGTAAAATGTGGTTGAAGATAACACAGATTCATGGATTGTTGCAGCACATGACATAACACTTGCACTTAGAACACCACTTAATTTAAGGTTAACTGCTCAACAGATGTTAAATATTAATAGCTTTAGCAACAACATGAGCAGGACTCTGCATTTTTGTATGCTGTCTTCTGTGGTATTTTCCACGGTGCTGACCATGAACTTATATGGAGTTCAGAAATACAGCCTCTCTCAGTCTTGCTCTTGCCCTCATGTCCTGGTTTCCATCCTTGATGGAAACTCTACCTCCAGTTTTGCGATGGCCCCAAAGCACAATGCTGATCCTTCTGAGTTCCTAATTCTAATCCTCACTCCTTATCTCTTAGGATGTTTTCCTAAAAATTCTTGAGCATTTCAAATATTGCCTTTTATTCGACTCAATGACTCTTTTTCTTCTTCCTTTAGCATATAGCTAAAGAACGGTTATACTCAGTTAAATTTTTATTAGACATTTTAAAGAGTAAATGTTATATGTGTTGTCTTTTTTGAGGTGTCAGAAATGTTTGCTAAAACAGTCATCCAAACTTCCGTCCAAACTTCTCTTCTCCCTCTTCCCCTGGGTACAGCCTTGGCCAGCTCCCTTCCCCAATTCCCCTTATAAACAGTGGTGTGCAGCAGCATGCTTATGGTTAGAAGTGGTGTGGTGGGAGTACATACATCAACCAGTCTACAAACATTTTAAATCAGCTCTCTACCCTGTAGAGACCTAGTTGTTGAACAATTATCAGCATTTCACCTCATAAAATTTCTACACATTTACTGGTAATCCTCTCTGGTAACTGCTTCTGGGCATACCCAGATTAACATAAAAGGGGAGAGGAGAAAATATAAAAATCAGTTTGGGACATGTTGAGACAGTGGGTAGAAATCTTGAGACCCTTCAAGATCATCAAAATAAAATTGCTTTCTCCAGTAAG